GCCCGGGCGGGTGCGCTCAGCGGGGCGAAGGCGGCGGCGGCGGCGGCGAGCAGGGCGCGAGGAAGCAGGCTGTGCGGCCGCCTCTCCCCTCGCGGCGGCGGCGGCGGCGGCGGCGGCGGCGGGGCTGTGCGTGCAGCGCGGAGCGGGGAGGGCGGGAGCGGAGAGGGAGGCGGCGGGCGGGGAGGAGGCGGCGGGGGCGGGGGCGCCGCGCTGCGCACTGGCCGGCGGGACCCGGAGCGGGAGGCTGCGCCGCCGCGCGGGGACTCTGGCCCAGCCCGGGAGAAACGGCGTCCGTGCGCCCCCCTCCTCCTAGCTTCGGCTAAAATGTCTGGGATGAGGGTGGGGGAAGACGAGTTGGGGAGCTGGTTCCCTCTAGAGACTAGGGGGAGGGAGGCTCCCAACACCAGTCTCCAGGGCGGGAGGGAGGGTGGCAAGAGAAAGGGGTTCTGGCTCCGGCGCCTCCTCCCCCTCATCGATCCTCCCAGCACCCAGCCATTCATCTATCCATTCACTCATTCATCCGTCCTCTCAAACATTCATTCACAAACAGAACCCACTGCCTACTCTGCGAGCCCAGGTAACCCTATGCCTCCCTGCCAGGTGCCCCTTTCCCGGTTCAGATGCCCCCTCCCTCCCCACTCACTTACATCCCCTCCTGCACAGGCCCTCTCTAAACTCTTTACTGTTCTCAAAACAGGACCCCACCCAGATATGTAGAAGGGCAGGTAGGGCCGGGTGTCGGGCCCCCTCTTTCCTTCCCCAGACCTTTGACCAACTTAGGTACCCTCTCTAAACCTCCGTGTCCTGAGTATGAAAAGAGAGCATTAGCCGCTGGACTCCTGGAAGGTTGAGGAGACCTGCAATGAAAAGGTGGTTGAGCTTTCAGAGAAAGTTGCGATGTGTGTCCCGGGGGTAGGGGTGGATGGACCAGACAGTTATTTAGCAGGGAAAGTACCCAGATGTAGCCTTGGATACACTGCCATCTCTCCCTGCCCGGCCTCACCTACCAGTGCAGACCTTGTCAAGGGGAGGTCCCTTCCAGACTTAGTTTCCTTTGGGTGCTAGCTACTCCCCGCGAGTCCCTAACTCTGCTTAGACCGCCTTCGAGTTTCCCCATAGCTCCCAGGCCCAAGCCAAGACCTCCATAATCCATCAGGAGCCTCTCCCTGCCAGACCAGATCCACTCCAACTTCTCCCATCCCACCATCCAACTCTAGAACCTTCCAGAAGTCCAGCCCAACATGCACTTCGCTACCTTTCCAGGCTTTCCAGACCACCTCCCCTCAGGAGGCTCCCCCCTTGCCCCTGAGGGAAGGCTTGCTGCCCACCCCCTGTGCTCTCCTGATCCTCTTTCCCCAGAGCTGCCTGGGGCCTTGTCTGTGGCTACCACCTCTGCCCCCTCCCCCAGCACTGTCTTTGCTCTTCCCACCTCTCCTCCCCTCCCAGCTCCCTTTCTTCCTTCCTTTCCTGAGCTGGTACTCAATTCACCGAATAGCTTTTTTTTTCCTCCCCATTTTTATTTATCGCCCAAACAGCATTATACCAACAATAAAGGAAGGGGGAAAAAAATCACCCACAATGCCACCGCCCTGTGGCGTCAACAGCTTCCCTTCCTCTGCTCCCTTCCAGGCTTGTCCCAGCACAAAGCTGGCTATAATTTGCGCAGAACTGTGGTTTCCGTTCCGCCTCCCCAGACCCCCAGATGGACTCCAGGGCCCCAGGGCTCCATCATTCCTCCATCATGTCTCTTAGCGTGTGGCTCAGTGTCTTCCTCCTTTCCCAAACCAAACCCCCCTTTACCTCCATGCCACCCCATGCCAGGCACCAGGCTGGCGCCAAGCAAGCATTTGGCCTCATACTGACGTGGATAGTATGAGCGGAGCTTGACTTGACACATCACACTTGGATATCAAAATATCACCTTCATAATTGTGGCTTTAATGGCTGTGTGATGTTCCTTCCAGCTGATGGACTGTAACTTGCTCAGCGGCAGCTCCTGCACACAGTCCAGGGATTATTAGGGGAAGTCCACTGTGCTGGGTACCGTCTGCCACGCCAGGAGACCGTTAGGAACCAGGCTGCCCTGGAAGCAAAGCTGAGGTTCTAGAAAGGCTGCCCCGCACATAGTCATTGCTGGGCAAGAGCTATCTGAAACAGGCTTCTCCATGCGACCCCAGAGACTAGGGCCAAGTCAGCTGGGACACCAGAAAGCTTCCTAAGGGCAGTGGCTGTTTGTTTGTTTGTTTGTTTGTTTGGGGGGCACAAGGAAGGTTCCAGATCAGGTGCAGCTGGAGCCCATTACAGCGGTGAATGCCTCGGTAGGAATGCCTGGGTGCCACTGAGCTGGAGCGGGGGCTCAGTCAGCTCAGGATGTGGTGGAAGACGTTGATAATGGCAGCCAGGCCTGGTGTGCAGATCTGGACATACAGACTTGTGGGAGCTTCATCCTAGGAGAAATGGGGCAGCAGCCAAAGACTGTAACTCCAGGACAATGACACAGTCAGCTGAGACCAGGAAATACAGTTTGTTCAGTCAACAAATACTCGCTGAACTCCACACTGAACCTAGCTACTGGCTGCATGGGAACTCAGGATGATAGTGAAGGCTAGAGTTAGTCCTTTAAGCTGGGCCCTGGTGGGAGGCTGTCAGCGTTGAGGGCAGCTCAAGTCATCCAGGAACACTTTGTGGCTTCAACCTTGAGCTTGCCAAGCCCCAGCTCCCCCACTCTGAGGGAGGCAATAACCAGAACAATGCCCTTCTGCTCAGAGTGGGCCCTCCCACTGGGCAGCAAGGTCATCCTGGCCCGCAGCTTCCCAGCCGCCCCCTGACCTCTCAGGGGGATGTGACAGAAGCCACCTGATTGTTCAAGAGCCAGTGAGCCTCAGCACTATCCAGTCCTCCCAGCTCCACCTCCAGTTTCTTGTGCTAATGGGGCCACCGCAGACTTCCTATGGCCAATGTGACAGTCTGTAAAGATCCTGAGATGTTTTCTGTACTCTGGTTGCTGAGATAACTGGACTTGGCAATGTTAGACTGTTGTCAGCCAAGGCTGGGCCCGTCTTAGGCTTGTTCTGGAGTGGGGAAGGATGGGATCTCCCACACTACACATTTCACCCAGCATCATTAACGACTTCCACTCTGGAAATTCCAGAGAGTCGTGCTCACTGACCACCAAGCCTCTCTGAATTCCCAGGGCATTCTGGGACATTCACACAGAGTTGTGAGCCTGTGGGCTGTGGGACGGCTGTTGGCACTGCTTCGGGTACACTTGCCTGGCCCACCAGCTCTCATTTTCCAGCAACGCTTCTGATCCAAGTCCCAGCTCCACTGTGCTTGTGCCCCTATTGCCATTCTGCCTGAGAATTCCTGCAGGCAGGACACATAGGGTTGAGGCTTCTCACAGAAAGCTCACAGGGCAGAGGCTCAGAGAGCAAGACCTTCAGCTTAAGGTAAGGCCTTAAAGAGGGAGATCCAGGAGCAACCAGGAGTGGGGCAAAGTCCGGTATGCTGAGACCAGCAACTCCTGAGGACCAGGACTGAGGCAAGGGGACCTTGAGGAAGGATCAGGCCAGGGGCAGCTGCTGGCTGGGATCCACCTACTGAGCTGGCACCAATTGGCCTCTCTGAGCCCCCATGTCCCCTGAGACCAGGGCCCCACTTCTACACACACACACACACACACACACACACACACACACACACACACACACACACACACTTTTCCCTGCCCAAATGACTCACCCACAGGCCAGAGCCTGGACATCCTGTTCACTGAGTTTTTCCCCTACCACCTTTCTTCTTCCTTGTTGGGGCTATAAGGGAATACCACAACCTGGATTCTTTATAAAGAAAAGAGGTTGTTTAGTGAAAGGTCCTGACCAAGGGGCACATCTGGTGTTTTCTTGCTTATGATGATGCTACCGAGTCCCACTGTGTCATGTGCTAAGACAAAGTAAGCTAGGCAATATGTCTTTTTCTCCTCTTTTTTTCTTCCTGTTTTTTGTTTGTCTGTTTGTATGTGTTGTTTTGCTTTTGAGATAGGGCCTCATGTAGCCCATGCTGGCCTCAAACTGGCTATGTAGCCAAGGATGACCTTGAACCCTCTGATTCTCCCGCCTGCATCTCCCTCACCATACTTGGCTATTTCTCTCTTTTTAAAAGGCCACTAAGGGTGCAGCTCAGTGGTTGAGTCAGGCATCCACTGACTCCACCATAAAGGTCCCACGACTTCCTCTAACTCTAAACCAATACCTCTGAACACCACTTCAGAGACTAAGGTTTTCTCATTTTGTTTTTCTCCAGCTGGAGAGGGAATCCAGGGCTCTAGGTCAACAGGCTACCACAGAGTTACAGCTAAAACATGGCCCTGAACTTCTGGTAGTCCTGACCACTGGGACTGTAGGTGTGTCACCATGCCCTGTTTATGTGGCACTGGGGATGGAACCCAGGGCCCCAAGCATAAGGGGCAAGCACTCTGCCAACCTGGCCACATCCTCAGCCCCTCCATGTAAGTCTCGGAGGGCAGGCAATACAGCAGGAGTGTTTTCATAC